TCCTCAACTCTCCGCCGAGGCTAGCAGCCTGAAGCGTACACGGCTAAACCCCGAAACCCCCTAAACCGGGTTTAGGGTTTAGGGTTTGGGGTTTAGGGTTTAGGGTTTGGGGTTTGGGGTTTAGGGTTTAGGGTTTAGGGTTTACGAAACCCCTAAACCCCAAACCCCAAACCCTAAACCCCTAAACTCCTAGCCCCAAGTCCTCAACCTCCAACACTTAAACTCAAGCTCCTTAAGGTCCCCAACCTTAAACCGAAACCCCAAGACCTCTGAGGCGAGCAGAAGGCTATGATACCATGATGGTGGCAAAACGGTTTCCTTATCGTAGTCGCAACCACCTCCCACATTCCCGACTAAGAATCAATCAGCGAACCCTGAGTCAAGCAGCCACCAAAAACCCTAAGCCCTAAACCTTGAACCTTGAACCCTAAACCCTGAACCCTAAACCCTAAACCCTAAACCCTGGACCTTAAACCCGAAACCCTGAACCCTAAACCCTAAAACCGAAACCCTAAACCCCCAAACCGAAAACCCCTAAATCCCTACGCACCCAAAGCCCCTGAGGCAAGCAGCAGGATGCTTTAGTTGAGCTCAACTTCGCGCGACGGGACCCGGACTTCCGGGTCGAGGCGCTCACGCACATGATCGACGCTGGGGCAGAATTTCATAGATTTAGGGTTTAGGGTTTCGGGTTTAGGGTTTAAGTTTAGGGTTTAGGGTTTAGGGTTTAGGTATCAGGTTTAGAGTTTAGGGTTTAGAGTTTTGGGTCTTGGGTTCGGGTTTAGGGGTAAGTGTCTAGGTCTTAGGCCTTATAGGGTTCTAAATTTTTACTGTTCTCACAAACTTTTATAGGTGGTGCCTTTAGGGTTCTAGCAGTGTTCTGAGAAGGTTCTTATAGGGGCTCTTATGGGATCCTTTTATCGTTCATACAAGGTTCTTATAGGGCTCTGATAGCATTCTTTTCTCATATGATTCGTGTGCGCGTGTATTGGGTTGGGTCATAGGGATTTTCAAAAGGGTTCTTTAGGGGCTTCGGTGTTGTGGTAGGGTGCGGAGTTCCGGGTCTGGGATTCAGGGCTTCGGGCGTTCGTTTGTGGTTTGGGCTGAAGAGGTTTAAGGGGTCAGGGGTCAGGGTTGCAGTTTAATTGAGCGTCTTTAGGGCTCTTAAACCCTAAAACCCGAAACCCCAAACCCTAAACCCTAAACCCTAAACCCTGCCGGTTGAGGCTTTTAAGGTCTCAAGCCGAGGCGGCTTAAGGGCAGGTGGTGGAGACACTTAAACCCGACGCCCGAGACCAAAAACCCCAAGCCCTAAATGCAAGTCTATCTAGGGAATCCCACGCTAAACCCGAAACCCCGAACTCTTAAACCCCAAACCGCAGAATGAGAAAAGAGGATTACATGTCCACCCTGAGTCAGAACACCCAAGGGGTAAACGTTAAGAAGAGCCCTACACCTTTAGCCCTAAATCCTGAACGCCAACAACCCGAAAGCCCCTAGAAATTAAGCCTTAAGCCCTAAACCCCGAGACCCAAAACCCTCAAGTTGTTGCCTTGAGCTTCAGGAGATCTACCTCAACCCCGACCCCAACGCTGGTCTTGAAGCCTTGGATCCCGGCACAGAGCCTCTCAATGCCCCTGGGACTGCAACGAAGCTTCCTAGAGACTCCCATTGGGTTTCGAGGATGGGTCCTCCTAAACTAAACCCTACTTAAAGGATCATGGGACTTAGTAACTAGGGTTATAATTAAGGTAACTATACTTAGAAGTGCTTATAACCCCCAATTGAGGTACTTATAACCCTACTTGCTAAGTCCCATGATCCTCCAAGCACACGAGAAGCCAGAAAGGTGGAACATCAATATCCTCATGCCCATTAAGGGGGAGATCCTAGCACTCATCCTCCTAAACCTATGTTCCAATTTTTTCTAGGATTGGCTGTAAATCCTACCGTAAACCCTGAAGTCTGTTTGGGCTGCAGCGGCTTGTTGCATTCGGCGCGGCGGGGCGAAAAACGAGCAAGCTTTCAAGTTCCTACCGGCAAGGCTCGGCTGTGAACCCGACGGCGCCCCGAAAAAACCCGAAACCCTAAAGGCATAGTAATATTAGCCTCTTTTTGGGGTCTAAGAGGGTCTTGCAGGTTGTAGCAGAGGCTTTCTAGGAGAGCTTGTTTTTTTGGTGGTTTGGAATTTTCAAAAAACTTAACATAACAACACCCCTCATTAATCCAGTCCCTCCTTTTTCGCTGTTTGTTTTCTTAGGTTCCTTCTATAGCTGCAAAAATCTGTAGCCAAAACGGAGCCCTTTTTGTTCCGAGGTTACGAGGGCTCCTCGTATGCCTACAGGTTTAGGGTTTAGGGTCTCTGATGTGCGCCGAAAGAGTAACCCTTATTGAAGCCCTTTTGCAAGGCCTGAAAAGAACCTTTTACAGGAACTCTATTCCAATGAGGAAAAGCAACTATGCTAAGCCCTTCTAGTAACCTGATAATGCACTCCATTCCAAAATAGGCGTAAACCCTAAACCCTAAACCCTAAACCCTCAACCAAGAGCCAGTTACAGGAACCCTATTCTGATTATCAAGGCCTTTCTCTCAAACCTTTCGTCTGAGGACAACCTGGCTGAAGTTGACAAGCTGCTGAAGGAGCGGCTGTTTAGGTTTAAGGTTTGGGGGCTTACGGCTTAATTACAGGCCTTAGGGTTTGGGGGTTTAAGTTGCAGGGCTGAGGGTTTTTGAAGGTTAAGAGAAAAGGGGGAAGGGTGTCGGCATGTGCGGTTTAGGGTTTTGGGGCTTTAGATTGTTAGGAGCAGAAGGGAAGTTTGGGCTGTTTTGAGTTTCGGGGTATGGACTTTCGTAGGGTTTTAGGGGGTTGGGGGATTTGAGTTTCGGGATAATATAGGCGCCTAAATAATTACCAACACCATTTTCGGTGTTCCGTATTGTCACTAAAGTATAGTATATCCCATAACCCTATTCTAATTATTCAGGCCCCCATATTAATGATCGGACTGAGCGCTGCAGGGCTTCGTAATGTACCGAGGGGGTTTAGGGCGCAGCAATGAAGAGTCTTCGTAACTAGGGCGGTTTAGTGTTTTGGGTTTAGGCTTTACGGTTTAGGGTTTAGGGTTTAGCGATGAAGGGTCTTCAGTTTAGATTGCCCTGGCATTGATGTAAAGCGCCTGCAGCTTTTTTTTTTAGTTTGGCGCTGAGAGGGTTTTTTGGAATGGAGGTTCAGAGTTCGGGATTTCTGGGGTTCAGGGTAATGGAGGGGCCTTAATAATCAGCATAGGGTTTTGGGGCCCATGATACTATAAATATAATCAGGAACCCCCAAAAATAGTATTGGTAGTTACCCTAAACCCTGAATCCTAAACCCTAAACCCTAAACCCTATTGAGGCCCCTATAGTACACGGTTTGAGGGTTCAAGATGATCCACGGTGGGAAGGGCACAAGGATTCTGAGGGTTTCTGGGGCGTCCTTGGGTTCTTTGAAACGCCCTCTTTGTGGGTTCTATGAGGGTACGATAAGGTTCCGAGAATATAGGACTCAGATGGATTTAGCAAGTAAGGCTTTGAGTACTTAACTTGGGGTTACAGTAATAGGTGTTTGTAACTATTTCGCGAAATCCCAAACCCCAAACTCTAAACCCGAAGCCCTAAACCCTAGACCCAAAACCCTAGTCCCTAAACCCTAAACCGCCCTAGTTACTAGGTCCCACGATCCGTCAAGTAGAGGGCTCGGCCTCAAGAGGTGCTTACCGTCTGAACCCTCAAGCGATAAACGCTGAACCCTAAGCCTCACGCCCCAAGCTAAACCCGTATCTAGACACAAAACACATTTCGAAAAGGCCCCCCCCCCCCACGCCCTCACAAAACCCTCAACCCTAAACCCCAAAAGGCCCTTACAAAACCTTCTAGGTCCCTTATGGCAGTCCTACTTGGAGGTTCATGGGTAGTTATAAGTAGGGTTATAAGTCCCCTAATATGGGTTATAACTATAGTGACCCTACTTATAACCCCACTTATAACTACCCATGAACCTCCAAGTAAAACCCTCAGAGGAGCTGGGACAGGTCAACAAGCAGTCTTGGAATCCTCGGCTCCGGGTGCTTTGGGTCGCCTTTTTGGGGGCTTCGGGTTTCGGGTTCGGGGTTTAGGGTTTAGGGTTTAGGGTTTAGGGTTTAGGGTTTAGGGTTTAGGGTTTAGGGTTTAGGAGTGTGGTGGTGGAAGATTTCTCAAACTGGGCTGGGGTAGCAATAACAGCAAGAAGATCTTACATATTTCAGAGTAGTGGGACTGATAGTAAATAGCAGTGGTATGATGAAAACTGGTTCGCTTAAGGAGGTTCAGGTTGCAGAGTTCCCGGCATCAAATCCGACAGACACTCCACTCCTTGTTCTTGCCAACTCCGATCATGTGTGCCTTTAGGGCCAAGATAGGTTTGTGATATCGGGGCCTTAATAATTTGAATAGGGCGTTGGGTGAATATCATTCTAGAAGTCAGTATATAGAGGCTATCAGGGAAAACCGAAACCCCTAAACCCCTAAAGCCTAAACCCTAAACCCTAAACCCCTAAGCCCCTAGACCTCTGAACCCTAAACCCCTGAACCCTAAACCCTAAACCCTAAACCCCTAAGCCCCTAAGCCCCTGAACCCTAAGCCCGGGAGCGTCCTTTCTAACTTCGCAGGCCCCAACATCACCTTCTAGGCTCGGTGTGAGGTTCTCAATCTCATTTTCCTGCATCTTCAACATGTGTGTCTAGGGTTTAGGGTTTAGGGTTTAGAGTCTAGGGTCTAGGGTTTAGGGTTTAGGGTTTAGGGTTCAGGATCTAGGATATTGGGAGCAGTGCCTTTCGGTATGAGTTTTCCTGGCGGCAGCTTCAGAAGCTGCATGTACGCGAGCTTGAGCCCTAAACCCTAAACCCTAAACCCTAAACCCTAAACCCTAAACCTTAAACCCTAAACCCCCAACCCTCCGAGGTGTATCAGTGCCAGAGCCTCATGTTCACCAAGCAGAAGGCCAGCGTGGAGCGGGCGTTGAACCAGCTCATGGACATCTACAATGACAAGAAGGACTTTGTCAAATTGTGGGGGTTTAGGGTTTAGGGTTTAGGGTTTACACAGCGCTGTGATTTTGCGCTCTCGTGGTAAGGGATTAGGGTTATATAATATACATCTATAATGACAAGAAGGACTTTGTCACTTCGTGGTAGGGTTTAGCATTTGGGGCTACATCTACAATGACAAGAAGGACTTTGACACTTTGTCTCGGGCTGGTAAGAGCACGAGCGGGTTTCGGGCATGGATTCAAGCGAGCGCGTGTTGCCTGGACCTCTCCTCAGAGGTTAGCTGTTGCGGGTTTGGAGTTTAGAGTCTTTAGAGTGTTTAAGGTTCGATCAAGCACCCCCTTACTTCGAGGTTCATGGGTAGTTATAGCTGGAGTTATCAAGTAGGGTAGCAGGGGATTTATAACCCCAGTTATACCTACCCATGAGCCTCCAAGCAGCTCGCCCACGTTGCCCTAAACCCTAAACCCTAAGCCCTAGCCCGCTTCTTTCGTTTCAGCAGCACCAGAGTTCCCAGCCCCCACAGCGCAGGACTACATCCCGGCTCTGCTCGCCATGTCACAAGGTCCGGCAGCTCCCCAAAGCCTTAAACTTCAAATATTCAACCCTAAACTTTAAATATTAACAACCCTAAACTTCAAATATTAAACCCCTAATTAAACTTTAAATATTAAACCCCTAAACTTTAAATATTAGGCATTAAACCCTAATGCTTTAGATACTAAACCCTAAACCTCCGACAGTGTAGCCAGTTGAATCGGTTTGAGGTGTAGAATCGCCTAGTTTAGAGCGTCGGGGCCCGAGGGGTTCTTAAGGCCTAACCCCTGAACCCTAAGCCCTGAACCATGAACACAAAGCCCTAAATGGCTAGTTCTCTAAATTGGGGTCCTTTTTTAGGTCCCCAATATAGTACGGCATCCTTATAAAAAAAAAGGACCCCTAAAAGGGACCCGAATTTAGAGAACTACCCGAATCCTGAATCCCAAAAGGTCTGATCATCCAGAAGCAGCAGACGAAGGCTCGAAATCAGCTCAAGCGCATCGCGGACCTAGCCAAGAAAGGCTGCTCAGACAGAATTCCGGTCAGCACGGTTTAGGGTTTAGGGTTTAGGGTTTAGGGCGGAATTGTGAGTGCACACCAGAGCTGCTAGCTGCTAGTGCTGAGGGTTAAGTGAGCAGAGGCGACTTAGAGTCTAAGAGAAGTAAACCTCAATGCCCGGATTTTGCCAGGATGGCTCTTCTGTTCGTCCTTTGAGGGGTTAGTGAGGTGAGGGCTCTAAGGGTTTAGGCTTTCGGGTTAGTGCCAAAGCTTGGGGCTTAGGGTAGACAATGTGCACCTGAATCAATCTGGTAATGCTGAGGACAATGAATAATTATTGACTGAATTAGAAGCAGCATTCCTGCATTGGCAACCGCCAAAACCCTGCCCTAAACCCTAAACCCCAAACCCTAAACCCTAAACCCTAAACCCTAAACCCTGAACCCTGAACCCCGTCAGTACGCCGCGAAACTTTAAGGAAACCTGAGACTTCGATCGGCCCGTGCACTCAGGCAATGGGCTCAAGCCTAAGCCCTAAACTGGAATCCCAAAGCCCTAAGCCCTAATCCTTACGCCTTCAACCCTAAGCCCTCAACCCTAAACCCCAAACCCTAAACCCTGAACCCTAAAGCCCTGAGACCTAAACCCCTAAAAGGGTCAGAAGGAAATGCATTGAAAACAACTCCCGGCCTGAATTCATACACCTAGAACCCTAGGCCCCCCAAAACCCTACACCCCTCAAACCCAAACTTCGGCGCATGGTGATAAATCCTGCATGACCCATAATAAGGAGTAGACCATAATTCCCATAATTTAGGGTCCCTAAGGTAATGCAATCATCAACCTAAACCCTAAACCCTAAACCCTAGACCTTAAACCCTAAACCCTAAACCCTAAACCCTCAACCCCAAACTAGTACCCCAAAGTCCTGAATCTCCAACTCCTCGAACTCCGAACCCAAGGTTACAATCCCGAGTTCATGGACGACTTCGAGCTCCTCGGAGGATCGTTTAGGTCGAGTTGGGCTCTTTTTTTGAGGGTCCAAGGTGTAGGGGGTGAGGTCTAGGGTTTAAGGTTTAAGGTCAAGGGTTCAGGGTTTAAGGTCTAAGATTTAGGGTTTAGGGTCTAAGGTTTAGGGTGTCGGGTTTAAGGTTTAGGTTTTAGGGTTTATGCTCTAAGGTTTAGGGTTTAGGGTTTAAGGTTTAGGGTGTGAGGTTTAGGTTTTAGGGTTTAAGGTTGAAGGCTTAGGGTTTAAGGTGTAGGGTTTTGGGCCCTACCAGTAGCAGGATGATTGGGTCGAGCCTGAATGATCAGAATGGCTATTTCTCACGGCTCCTTTGTAAGTCTAAGTATGCTCTATTATGCTCCAACACGGCTTTCCAACTAGCAAGGACCTCATGTTGAAGATGGTCCCCTTTTGGGGGGCAACACGGTTTAGGGTTTAGGGTTTAGGGTTTAGGGTTTAGGGTTTAGGGTTTAGGGTTTAGGGTTTAGGGTTTGCGCTGTTTCGCGATCTATTTTAAGGGGTCTGTGATTTGAGGATAGGTCGAGCCGTGGGGCTTCGATGTGTTTCAATGTGTAGAGCTCCTGCCGTGGTCGTCAGAAGGGCTCCACTTGCGTGGCTCCTTTCTTTAGGGTTTAAGGTTTAGGGTTTAGGGTTTAGGGTAACGGTTTAGAGTTTAGGGTTTAGGGTTTGGGGTTTCGGAAGCCCTAAATGCGTACCCCTAGAGCCCGCAAGCCCGACACTCGACACTCTCAAACCCTACCATAAGCTACCTTCTTGTATCGTGCCGCCCCACCAGCCCCCATGAAGTCCATGTCTGACTTTGCGGTAGACCCACTTGAAGGTCCATGGGCAGATGGCAGTAATGACTGTAATGTGACAGTACCTCAGCCAGAGCTGCTAACGACACCAGCCTTCGATAGAATCCTTGTTGAATGTACTGTATAAGCTTGAAAGACTAGCCATGTACTTCACCCTAAAGCCTAAAGCCTAAACCCCAAACCCCAAACCCTTACTCTCAGATCATAAGCCCTTATATCATCTCCCCTAAACCCTAAAGCCTAAATCCTAAACCCTAAACTCCAAACCCCTAGACCCTAACCCCCAAGCCCCTAAACCCATACCCTAAACCCTAAACCCTAAACCCCTAGACAGCATGAGGCGGGCATGGCTGCTCTTGGCGGAGATCTACATCCAGTCGGCTCCTTCACTAAAGCACCTGGGGGAGCTTTCGGGTTGCCATCTTTAGTGTTCCTCTGTAAGGGTTTAGGGTTTGGGTTTATGGTTCCTTTTAAGGGCTCTGTAAGGGTTCTGTAAGGGTTTAGGGTTTAGGGTTCCTTTTAAGGGCTCTGTAAGGGTTCTATAAGGGTTTAGGGTTCCTTTTAAGGGCTCTGTCAGGGTTTAGGGTTTGGGGTTTAGTGTTCCGTTTAACAGCTCTGTAAGGGTTCTATCAGGGTGTAGGGTTTGGGGTTTAGTGTTCTTTCTACGGGCTCTGTAAGGGTTCTAGAAGGGTTGAAGGTTCCTTTTAAAAGCTCTGCAAGGGTTCTAGAAGGGTTTAGGGTTCCTTTTAAGGGCTCTGTAAGGGTTTAGGGTTTAGGGTTCCTTTTAAAGGCTCTGTAATTTAAGGGTTCTAGAAGGGTGTAGGGTTTGGGGTTTAGGGTTCCTTTTAAGGGCTCCGTAAGGGTTCCATAAGTGTTTAGGGTTCAGGGTTCAAATTTAAGTGCTCTGTAAGGGTTCTATACGTGTTTAGGGTTTAGGGCTCCTTTAAGGGATCTTTGAGTGTTCTATAAGGGCTCTCTAAGGGCTCTTAAAGCGTTCGATATGGGGCTTAGGGTTTAAGGTTGATGAGTTTTGAGGTCTAGGGTTTAGGGCTGGAGGTGTAATGAAGATGGAGGTTTTGTGGGGTTTAGGGTTTAAGGTTTAGGGTTTAGGGTCTAGGGTGAGCCTGAGATAACTGGTACGAAAGCCTGTAATCCTAGCCCACATCATCGTGGCCTCTCCTGAAGCAGAGCCTCCAGAATGAACAGAGCATCCTCAACCATCACCCGACCGAACGGTGTTGAATCTTAGACCCCCTCGACCCCAAAGGTAAACCTTAGGGTTTAGGGTTTAAGGGTTTTGCTCAGGGTTTAGAGTTTTAGGGTTTAGGGTAGCCAACATCCTAGACTCCTTTTGCCCCGAGGCAAAGTACGACCTTGCGAGCTCGCTTTGCCACTTGGCCAAGGACCGGGAAGTTGTCCTGAACCGGGTTTAGGGTTTAGGGTTTAGGGTTCAACCCTAAACCCTAAAGGCCCTAAACCCTCAACCCTAAACCTTAAACCGTGGGGTGTGCTGTCCATGCGGGCCTCAGTTTCGGAGTCCAAGGCGCGGCCTGGAGCTCAGATTATATACTACAGATCCCTACTATTATTATTATTATTAGTAGTAGTATTTTGTATTGTTTTTATTATGGTCATCATTATTATTATTATCATCATTATCATTACTCTTATCATGATCATGATCATTATCATTATCATTTTCAAGATTGTTATTATGATTGTCCTTTTTTATTATCGTCATCATCATCATTATTTATTTTTATAGTCATTATTATTATCATGAATATTATCAGTATCATTATCATCATCATTCTCATCATCATTATCATTATCATTATGATTATCACTATCATTCTTAGTATTAGTTGTATTATTAGTATTATTTATTTTTATTATGGTAACTTGAAGCAAGATCCTCAACAAGAAGGATTCCACTCTTGGAGGCCCTTTCGACTTCACGGCTTTGGGGCTCAAGTCTCGGAGAGCGCACGGGGCGAGGAGGTTGGGTGTTGAGGCAGGAGGAGGAGAGCGTAGGGTTTTAAAGCGGAGCTAACGGGGGATCTAGAAGGTTGCTTAAGAGGTTCCGCTTAAGGGATCTATAGGAGATCTTTCAGATTGCTTTAAGGGCTTCCCTAAACCCTAAACCCTAAACCCTAAACCCTAAACCCTAAACCCTTTAAGGTTGGAGTGTAGGAGGGCTTGAGCTTTTTTAGCCCTTGAGCTTCAATCTTTGGCGTCAGGACTAGTGCCCTTACCCATCCCTGGGCCCACCACGAGGGCTAAGGGTGTAGGGTGGGGAGGTTTAGGGCTTAGGGAGGTATAGAGTTTGGGGTTTAGGGTCTAGGGAGGTTTAGGGTTTAGGGAGGTTTAGGGTTTAGGGTTTAGGGAGGTTTAGGGTTTAGGGAGGTTTAGGCTTTAGGGTGTAGGGCTTAGGGAACCTATCCCTGGACCCACCACGTAGGTCCACGTAGCTGATGTTGTGTTCGCAGGTTAGTATACAATGATCCAGCGATAGAGTTGCAGGGATTGGGTGCTGTGGCTTAGAAGGCCCTCAACCCTAAACCCTCTTAAACCCTAAACCCTAAACCTTAAACCCTAAACCCTAAACCCTAAACCCCAAACCCCAACAGTCGAAGCTTCGGGTTCGGTATTTTGCAAACACTGAAACCTAGCCTTAAGGCCCTACGCCCAAAACGCAAGGCCCCGCATGCTGAACGCACAGGAACCACCCCCCCGGCTGGGGGCGACAGATTCTGAGACGCTTAGCTCTGCGTGCCTTAACACTTGGAAGTGTGTTTTCCCTGAGTCGAATTTTGGAATCGAATTTGTCCCTAAACCCAAAGTTTAAACCCTACACTCCAAACCCTAAACCTTAAGCCGTAATAATTCCGCGCCTACTTGGAGGTTCATGGGTAGTTATAAGTAGGGTTATAAGTCCCCTAATATGGTTATAACTATAGTTACCCTACTTATAACCCCACTTATAACTACCCATGAACCTCCATGTACACTCTGCATGCCAGGACCACAATCGCTCCTGCGGCAAGGCACTGCCTGGCCTGCCTTTTTACGTTGCAAAGTAACGTAGAATTTCGAATAATTGCCAATACCATTCCTTACGTTTCCGAAAGATGGTATAAAGTACCCTAAGACCCTATTCTGATCATTAAGGCCTTAAGTGGCATCAGGAGGAAGAGGAGGAGGCCATCGAGCTCAGTCGTAGCATAGAAGTCCTCCCACGAAAGCCCCGAAGCCTTGAAACCAAACTGGACTTGGCCTCAGCCTCAAAATCCTGCCTCAGACTCTAACATCAGATTCGATACCTGGAGGTTCATGGTTCTTATAGGTCCCCTAGTATGGGTTGTAATTATAGTTATCCTACTTGTAACGCCACTGATACCTAACCATGAACCTGCAAGATTGCTTTTCTAGGGTTGCAGGGGTGTCTGAGGCGGTCTTGCTTTCAGAAAGTGCTTCGCAAGCTGCAAGTGGGTAGTGCTTGGGGCTATTTTGCGTTCGCAATAAAGTCCAAAGTGCCAGACTGTGCCAGAGAAATCAACTTCCTAATCCTGAACCATCAATGAAATTTCGAAGCTTCAGCATGAATGTGGGTAGTTGTCAAAATTATGGTCCCGTTTGGGGTACCCTAAATAATAGGTGCCGTATTATAATAAGGACCCAAAAAGGGACCATAATTTTGACAACCACCCATGTATGTAACTTGTAGAGCTGCATATACACAACATCACAACATGTGACCTAACTTGTATGTATGTATGTATGTATGTATGTATGTATGTATGTATGTATGTATGTATGTATGTGTGTATGTATGTATGTATCTATGTATGTATCTATGTATGTATCTATGTATGTATGTAT